ATTCTCCTAATCAGTCCCAAACTGACATGATCTTTCTTGGTTTCGCAGGAATCACTCCGCCATAGTCCGAACCTTTAAGCTTCCTACGACTCTTTTCCTCCATAAACCCCTAATCCGGCGCCTCCAACTTTTTCAGGAACCACGTCGCATCCGACTCTATCTACGACAGCCACTCTTTTCCAACCCTACAATCCGATTGCACGAGTCTTTGGCAAAGCGAAACTTTGCCCTCCGATGACTTCATAGTCACAATTTGGAATCGTTTCAAGCCGCCACTCTTTTACAAATACATTCACAATGCTCACACCTCGGAGAGCCGTCGCGGTTGCCGCGTTCCTCTTAATCGTCTTTTACCTAATTTCTTCCTCCCACGACACAACACCCGCCGTAAAGGCACCAGTCGCTGCCTCCAACCATGATACGACAGACTCCAAAAAGTCCTCGTACACTCCTGCCTCCGCCGACAGCGAGATCAAGCCCTCTGCTCCCAAGGTTGCGACGCAAAAGCCAATGATGGACATGTCCAAGATGTCTTTGTACGACAAGCTGGCATACCAATACCCCTACGACCCCGAAACGCGTTTCCCGGCCTACATCTGGCAGACTTGGAAGTGGACGCCGGCTGAGCAACAATTCAACTTCCGCGAGCAGGAAGCCAGCTGGTCAGAACAGCACCCTGGCTTCGTGCACGAGGTCATCACCGACAAGGTCGCAGTCAACCTGCTGCGCCTCCTTTACGCATCTGTCCCCGAGGTCCTCAAGGCTTACGACGCTCTTCCTCTGCCCGTCCTGAAGGCCGACTTCTTCCGATACCTGATCCTCCTTGCCCGCGGCGGCATCTACTCCGACATTGATACTTACGCTATCAAATCCGCCCTTGAGTGGATTCCCGAGCGCATTCCTCGAGAGAGCGTCGGTCTCGTTATTGGCATTGAGGCGGATCCTGACCGCCCTGACTGGAAGGACTGGTACAGCCGCCGTATTCAGTTCTGCCAATGGACAATTCAATCCAAACCTGGCCACCCCGTGCTGCGCGAGATTGTCGTTCGCATCACCGAGGAAGCTCTGAAGCGCAAGAAGGCAGGCGAGCTGGACAACATTGCCGACAAGAACGTTGTCGAGTTCACGGGACCCGCGATTTGGACCGACGCCATCTTCGACTACTTCAACGATCCTCGATACTTTAACATGAAGAACTCTAAGGGAGCTATTGACTGGCAGAACTTCACGGGTATGGAGACGTCCAAGAAAGTGGGCGATGTGGTGGTACTCCCCATCACCAGTTTCAGCCCTGGCGTGCAACAGATGGGTGCCAAGGATTATGACGATCCTATGGCCTTTGTGAAGCACGACTTTGAGGGTGAGTCAAGGCACATGCCGTTTCCACAGACTTAAAACTAATGTGTGACTACAGGCACCTGGAAACCCGAAGAGCTTCGCCATATTGGCGAGCAAAACGAGGATGGTTCTTCGAAATCAAAATAAGACATCCATCCAGCCGTACGAAAGTGACGACAAACCTTTACTTCTGGTACATGTCTCTTTTAATATTTGCATCTCCAGCGGCGTCCTCACCCACGGTCACGGGTTGGGCATGTTTCAGAAGTCGCGTTTCGTCTTTTTGTTGACTTTTTTCTTTCTTTCTTTTTTTTTTTTGTGGCATCGGCGAGAGGAACTACAAACGAACTGCATACCCCTAGGAAACGGGAAAAGCGTAGAGCTTTTTTTTTTTTTTTTTTTTTTTTTTTTTTGGCATAGAGTCTAGTTACATCATCCCTCGATCTGATATACAGGAGGGCGGAGTAGCGGAGAAGGGACCTCACGGAATGGATTGTGAGGTGGGCAGAAATTGGTCTCCAGAGGCGAGCGTCCGGCGAGGCGAAAAGCCGCAGAAGGTTGAGGACAGCTGCAATCCTCGTTAGTATCGTGGTACATATACCCAAGGCAGTCTGCGAGCAAATGGAACAAATTTTGAAATGTCAAACTCACGATGAGAAGGAAATGCAACATCAATTGCATCGGGGTACACTCTGTCTCCACTGGTGACCAAACAATGGATTCACAGCCATCTAGGGACCAACCTGCCGACAGTTCCGATTCTTGAGTTAGAGTTCTACAGAACTACGTAGGCGTGGCCTCGAAACCCGTCGAGGCTGTCACGGCGCGTCATCCTGTACTTGACACCCGGCCAATCCCACATCGCGTGCACTCGCGGCTCCTTTTTAGGGAGATGTTCCCTGTTCGTAGCGGGTACAACCCCGCACGGGTTCTCCGCATTAGCTGTGAGGTAAGGGCGGGGGAGCTTCCTCTGCCAAGGCGCATACCCCCAACTTTCGGCTCGGTGTGACGGGGGAGAGCGGCCAGACGCGGGAGAGGGAGTGGAAGGGAGGGCCGAGAGTCCAACCTCTTGTGCCCCCGCCTTGCTTCGAAGGATGCCTTGTAGCTTACCTTACACAGACGCATACGAAGAGCTCGACGAATTGTTGGAGAGAACGAAAGCCATGATATTGTCACAGCGAGACATCTTTTGAGCAATACCCTTTTGGTTTTTTTATTTTTTATTTGTTTAAGCACCTCTTTGGGTTTAACCTTTGGGTTATAGAGCCGAGGTTGAGCGCGGGTAAGCTTCAACGACGACACCAACGACGCCGACGAAAGATGATGCTCTCGACAGCTAGGTACGTTCGTCTGGCGACGGGATGCGTCGCGCGGACTACGGCGCGGAGAAGATGTGCGGGCTTAAGGCCTGGTGCCGTCCTTGCTGGTGTTGGCCAGCGAAGGAGGTTGTCTTCGGGGTATGAAGGGTTGAGTTTCAGTCTTGGTCCTGAGGATGTGAGTTGCTGTTCTGTTTGCTGTTGGACAATTGGTGAAGACGAGAGTGCTGCTTGCTGCAACTGGTCTTATCTCAGCTCGAGTGAGTGAGTGTGTGGTCGAGTATCGAGGGAGGCCAATGGTTGACATGAAGCCTCAAAGCTCTTCACGAGTGATCAAGACCTCCTAGAGTTCGCAACTTCACCACCTCACTCACCTACAAGAAGACGTTCGAGAAAACACATGGCTAACGCAATCGGCAGCCCCCCCTCTTAACCCATACAATCCCCCAGCACTTTTCGCAAATCGTCTCTCAACACGGCGACCTCCCCGCGGTCACAGCCCGCAGCCCAACCCCAAACTCATCGTCCGCCTTCCCGGCCGCTACGACAACAACCCTAACCTACGCCGCTCTCGACACCCTCTCAAACACCCTAGCTCACGGCCTCCGCTCCCTCGGCGTCCGCAAAGGCGACCGCCTCGCCGTCTCTCTCGGCAATGGCGCCGAATTCGCCGCGCTCACCTACGCGGCCTTCAAGCTCGGCGCCGTGCTGGTCCCGCTAAACCCAGGCTTCAACGCGAAGCAGGTCGGCGCGGCGCTGCGCCATTTGGGCGTCGAAGTGCTCGTCATTGGCAAGGTCACGGATCTGCCGTATAAGCCGTGTAGGGGGCGGAGTAACCTCGAGCTGCTGAGGACGCTGGTGCCGGATTTGGATAAGGGCGGGGGTGTGGTGGAGAGTGAAGTTGTTCCGAGTTTGCGAAAGGTCGTGGTGTTGGATAACGCTGGGTTTCATCCCGAGGTGGAGTTCGCTGGTGCTTTCAGGGCGTTGACGCCGTATGAGGTCCTGCTTGAGTCTGGGGATGTGACGAGGGCCGTTGTACCTGACGCGCCGCTGAGGCCGGAGGATACGATCAACATCCAGTTCACGTCGGGGACGACGTCCCAACCGAAAGCGGCGATGCTGACGCATACTTCCATCCTCAATAACGGACACCTCATCGCACAGAGGATGGGCCTGGTGCCGGGTGACAGGATCGTGGTGCCGCCGCCGCTATTCCACTGCTTCGGGTGCGTGTTGGGGTATATGGCGACCGCGACAACGGGGGCGGGGATCCTGTTTCCCAGTCCGGCCTTCGACCCATCTGCTACGTTGAAGATGGTGGCCGACTACGACGCGACGGGGTTATACGGCGTCTCGACCATGTTCGTCGCCGTGCTAGAGGCGTTGGCGGGCGGCGGGGTGGTGAAGAAGGAAGACATGCCGGACGGTCTGAGGAAGGGCATCGCAGCGGGGAGCTCGGTGCCAGAGAGTCTGATGAGGAGGTTGTACGAGGTTCTCGGCTTGCGGGACCTGGTGATTTGCTACGGGATGACGGAGACGAGTCCCGTGAGCTGTATGACGGCGCCCGACGACGGGTTCGACAAGAGGACGAGGAGCGTAGGGAGGGCGATGCCGCATACGGCGGTGAAGATTGTTGATCCTGCGGACCAGGGGCGGGTTGTGAGGCGCGGAGAGAGGGGGGAGCTCGCGGCGGCGGGGTACCTTGTTATGAAGGGATATTGGGGGGATGAGGAGCGGACGGCGGAGGTGAGGAGGGAGGAAAAGGACGGTAGGGTGTGGATGTACAGCGGGGACGAGGCGCGGATGGATGAGGATGGGTATGTTGAGATTACGGGACGGATCAAGGATTTGATTATACGAGGTGGCGAGAATATTCACCCCCTCGAGGTTGAGAATTGTTTGTTCCAGATGGAGGGAGTCAAGGAGGTTTCTGTGGTGGGCGTGCCGGATGAGAAGTTGGGGGAGGGCGTTGCTGCGTTTGTGGTATTGAAGAAGGGATGGAGAGGAGATGATGGTGATGATGCTGCGGAAGGGGGCAAAGTGATTACGAGGGATGAGGCGAGGGCTTGGGTAAGGGAGCACCTGTCGAGTCATCTTGTGCCCAAGCATGTTTTCTGGGTGGACGATTATCCCAAGACGCCGAGTGGGAAGATTCAAAAATTCAAGCTGCGGGATATGGCCAAGGATCTGCTTGAGGGGAAGAAGTAGAGGGTCTGGGCGGATCATAAGGTTTGAATCTACAGTAGATATGGCATCACATAGTTACGGAACCAGCGAGTCTGAGCTGTGAGGTATCATGGTGTTTCTTCAAATTTTTTTTTCAATTGACGGCCGAACTGATCAAACCTAGTGTTCAACCTTGAGTGAGAAATCCACGTGCGGTACACCTTGGTGAATGGCACTTGTCGAAACAATATCAACATCTGTAAAAAAGTCAGCATGTCACCAAACGAATAATACCAAGCCACCAGGCACAACTCACCATTGCACACATAGTTCTCGACGTTCTCCAACGTCAATCCACCAGAGACCTCGACCAAGAAATGCTTCTTCCCCGCCCACTTCTCCTTCAAGCTCTTGGCAGCAATCTTGACCCCTTCGCCCGTAAAGTTATCCAGCATGACAACGTCCGCTCCGGCCGCAATCGCCTCGTCCGCCTCCTCCTCGCTCTGCACCTCCACCTCCACCTTTAGACTGAACCCGCCCACGCTCTTGGCCGCCTTGACCGCATTCGTGATGCTCCCCTTGCTCCACACATGATTATCCTTCAACATAATCATCGAACTCAAATCATGCCTATGCGCGTCCGCACCGCCCACAAGCATACCATACTTCTCCACCAACCGGAACCCAGGCGTCGTCTTGCGCGTACCCGCCAGCACACCAGCATACCCTGCCGCTCTCAAATTCACCAACATACCCCTCGTCATGCTCGCCACGCCAGAGCACCGCGCAAGCGTATTCAGCGCCACCCGCTCACCCAACAGGATCCCGCGCGTGGGTCCCGAGACCGTCGCGACGCGCATCTTGCCTTTCGGGTTGTGGTCCCCGTGGCCGCGGAGCTCGACGTGAGAGCCCTCCTTGACGTGCCACTCAACGGTGCAGCCGCACTGCGTAAAGACCTCGTCGACAAAGGGCCGACCGGCGACGATGCCGCCTGATTTGCCCCAGAGGGTCGCGGTGCGCGGGGCGGCGCCGACGACGAAGCCGCCGTAGTCGAAGGAGGGCGTGTCTTCGGCGAGCCAGGCTGTTACCATTGTCTTCCAGCTGGGCGGGAGGAGGTGCTCCGGGGAGCCGTGCTCGAGGGGGACGTCTTCCATTGTGAGGTGTGGAGGGGGTTCGTTCGGTTCGGATTCGTTTCGACTGACGATACCGTGTAGTAAGGGCGAAGGGATGGAGTCGTTTTGGGGGTCGGAGGGAAGAGGGTGTCGGCGATTGAGAGAAGAAGGGAATTTGTAAGACTGAAAGACTCAAAGGTTAATCGCCACGGTTCGGATTCGTTGACGTTGTTGCCGTTGCCGGCTTCTGTCGGTGCCGTCTTCTGCCGATGGCGGGGTTAGCGTCGGCAGCTGGGCGGGGTAGTAAAACAGCTGGTGACGACTGGCGCTCAGAGGTCTTTCCTCGTTCGACTTACACGAAGTTCCGAAGCAGTGACATTGAAGAAAATGGCAAACAAGAGTCTTATTATTTCTGTTTAATTGAATAAAATATGATAGTCACGGTACGAGTATGCAACTCCTTCATCCAAATCAACACCGATCCGCCCCAGATCTCTGAAAAAACGTCCCCCGATCCTCTGCTTCACTAACGGAAAACTCATCAGACGCATACACAAACCCGCTCGACTGGATGGACCCAGACCTAGAGGACTCGGTCAGCACTCCGAAGTCAGAGCTATCATGCGAATGCTGCCGGTCTCTCGACTCGTCTGGCTGACCTGAGCCTGCAGCATCGTCGACCGGCGCCCGAGGTGACGGCGGCGTCAAGTCGTAAAAGTCGTCGATGGTGAGTTGACGGATGGAGCGGAAGTTCCGGTACAGCTCCTTCTGGGCGCCCCGTAAGACGTCGACGGTGGCCCCTTCCCCGTCCTCTCCCCGTCGATCCCGTGTCGTCGGATCCGCTATCGGAGTTTCCGATTCCGAAATCGTTGGGTTTGCGACGAAGCGTCGGTCCAGGACGTGCGGAAGCTGGAGGCGGAAGTGCTGCTGCTGCTGCGCATTGTTTACCTTTTCTTCTTTCTTTTCACTGATTTCGGTATTCAATGGAACGGTTCCAAAGTCTAAAGAGTGATGAGTCTTGAACATGGTCAGGTAAGGTGTTCCGTCTGGAGGAGCACTTACACGGAGACGGCATGACTTCGCTCGGTTCATCAGGAAATAGGGTACCGTAGATGGCACGCCACTGCTGTTCTTCGGTTCCATGGATTTGTCTTCGCAGAAGCTTTCTCTGCTGCCTGGTGCATCCCATAGGCAACATGGACGAAACTAGCTCACATCTTGTCGGTTCCAGCAAGTGATTATGAAGGCTACTCTCGGAAAAGAATACTGCGGCGCATCGGGAGCAGTAGAAGGGTATTATGTGGTGGTCGTAAATATGTTGTCTATTACCTGTGATGTTAGCCTGTGTATCGCCTGGGAACGAATCATGCTGACCTGACTTCATCCGCGTTGGAAAATCCAGAATCTGTACAGTATTCTTTTCGAAAGTGCCCGTCGGGGTCGTGTTGGTAGAAGGGGCAAGCAAGCTTCCTAGGCGGCACATTGGAGAGACCGCCACCAGGGTCTGGCTTCTTCGACGGTTCATCTACGTCTTGATCAACCTTGTCGGGTTCGACGGCCGATTCCTCACCCTTGGGGGATTTCGAAGAGCTGCACACACAACGTGGTGAGAGAGGCGTCGCACGTTCCTGCTCCCGCGGCAGAGATGGACATGAGGTCGTGGGTGGAGACGACTCGTCCATTTCAGGTGTACTGGACTTGAGACTCTGGTTCAGCAAGGTGGCGAGCCCGTTGATTAGGGTTTCGGCTGCTTTCAATTCTGATTTGGTGCTTGGGTAACCCTGAGAGTGGGTGATTCTCGTGGCACCAATTGTGATGTCAAAGGACATGGCATCCGAAGAGCAACGGGCTCCATGTCCGCCTGTTTCTTCCCAATAAAGAGAGCATGCCGTGCCTTGTAGTCCAGAATAGTTTCTCCTCGGTATGTTGCATCCGCCCCGTGTTCCCCGCCCACTTCCACAGAAATTCGTTGGCTGCATTTGGCATGGTCGTGGTGGTTCAGCTAAGCAGGCATGGGCGATCACTCCATGGGATTCCGGGCAACATCGGCATGTTTCTTTTAAGTCACAAAGTCAGTAAGTATGCGGTAACTTAAGATTTCCACATACCTCCATGACTGCAATTTCCGCTAGAACGTGGCTGTGTTATTTGACTCTTTTTCTCACGGCCGCGCTGCTCATGCCTCTCCATGTAATACATCGGGAAAAGGAACATGGCTGCTAGGAGTAACGCAACAGATATCCCAGCCACGAAGCCAAAGATGTCGGGGGACATGCCGAGATACTCATCTTTGCGCTGTTGTTGGCAAGGAGGGGCTTGGCGATACTGAGGTTTCCAAGACGTGGACATGTTGTCATCGGTTGCTGTAAAGTAGACCAGAATCTGGGATGAGAAAAAATTTGGATTGTCCCGTGGAGTGGGCGTGTCAAGCTCAAATATGAAATAAGCGTCTTCCAACGCTTTGTGCGGAGAAGTAGAAGTCTCAGATCTCAAAACCGTTTGCAGGTGTCTTGAACGTTGAGTCCCGATGATGCGGATTGGGTTAGGCCGGCGATCATCCATACGACTAAACGACAAGCCACTCATCTCGAAGGATGCGCTCGGCAAGATTGGAGATCAAATAACTACCTAGTATATTGACAGAAAAGGGGAAACATAGGGTTGAAGACAAAGGCAAGTAAGTGTGATGTCGTCGTGTAATGTGTCTTGTTCAAGCTCGGCCTCGGACAATCAAATTCAATTCGAACATAGGCGTACGATAAAGACTAGTTGATTGTTGTGGACTACATGATAGGATGTAGGTGACTTTACATCTTATGGGACATTGCATTCCCCCAGATTATTAGACTGATTAGGTGCTGACATTACTACCTTCCACGGCAGTCTCATGTTTGAGTGCCCTCCATAGGCCTTTCAACCTCGTTGCATCGGCGAATATAGGCCCTATTATCCAGAATCCACTCCCTCTCCCTCCCAAAGAAGTAATAATGCGTGAGTTCGTGCGCTCTCGGGTACCACTTGCACTCACTCGCCGTTCCAGGGTCTTCGAGAGCCGCTATGTCGCGATCGTCAGCTGCCTCGAACCAGCCCGTCTTGTCATCATTGACGATGCCGAAAATGAGGCCGTAGCAGATGACAGCGTAGGAGGACTGGTGCTGGATTCGGAGGCGAGGTCGGCCCCAGGCCTCGTTGAAGAAGGCATGAGCTTCCCTGACGCCTTTGGTGCCGTTTCCGCCGGTGGCGGCGATGCAGTTTGTCCAGTTGCGGGCTGGGTACCATTGGGCGTTGACGCCGGTGGCAGCGAGGCCGACGACGGCTGCAATGACGGTTGATAATTTCTGGATTTAAGTTAGGATATCAGAATTGTAATTCGTAGATTGTTGGATAAGAAGATGAGAAGGGAGTCTGGGCGTACCATAGTGCTTGATTGGCTTCTCAATTTGTTTGAGCAAATGTGGTCCAGATGGTGAAGAAAGGGTAGGTTGTGAAGAATGAGACTCAACCGATGTTTGAAAGAATTCTTCGTGTGTGAGGAAGACTTAGAAGAAGTGCTGTGAGAGAACCTTGGTAGAGTCGTCGAAAATTTGGATTTAGAGGCTTTTGGGCGGACCAGAACGCTGTTGAACCTTGAGACTATCATGCGTGGCCCCTTGGTCTTTTAATGGGCCCATGGTATTTCCGTTCTTAGGCTGGTTTATTTTGACTCACAAAGAATTCAATTTCTTCAATAAAAAGGTACTAAATTGTTTTGTTTGATATTTTGACGAACCAACTTAGGACAAATTGGCCGATTCCCGCTTGATCAAGGTCCCAACTTCTACCACCCTCTCCCTAATCGACGATGTCGGCTCCCTTTTGCCATGCAGTATCAAAGTACTGGCTGTACCATGCCTCGATATTCTTCGTATCATCAATCCAGACACCATGCTGCTCGTTGTACTCTGGATAAATGTTGTCGCTTCCCACATACAAAAGCTGCCTATCCACACAGACGATCTTACTGTGTTGGCCATACCGATTATCGTTCTGCATAATTCTCTTGCAATGAAGCCGGTCTTCAATAATCTCTGCAGCAGTTGTACCTGACGGCAATTCTTGTGCGCCGAGGAGGCCAGTCAGGATCTCCCGGAAGGTTTTCCATGAGTACGGATCTCCATAGCCTCCTCCGGCATCCTTCGTGGTGAGTAAGATGTGCATACCGAAGCTCTTGTCTTGCGGGTGATTCTTGACAATGTTGAGCAGACCCTTGCACATGGCCTGCATGACATCGTACGGGACCACATACTCATCCCAGTCGAGGCCGAGTTTGGTATTGAGCCATCCCTTTATGGCATTGGCGCCTGCATTACCTCGCAGGAACGGTTCCACAAAGATCTCCTGAGCGAGTGTGATGTTGCTCGTCGCATTCTCAATGGCGTGGAATCGCGCAGCTTTGCTTGCCCATACAGCTGGGCTGAGGTCGAACCGCTGCATGGCTGGGAGGATGGCTTGATCGCTCAATGCATCGATAACGGTGTTCATCACCTTCAGATCAGGGGCTGTGCCACCTGAGGGGTTGAAGCCCTTTGTAGTCTGCATGTACACCAATTGCATAAGAATGTCTCTGTACAATGCTTCTGGTTAGCATTGATCTGTTCGTGTCTTTGCCCGAGACGAAAAGGTTCTCACTTCACTACGTTCAGGACCAGGATAGGGTATCGGTGTTTACCAGGTCCAGGAAGACGATCGCCCACGTTGCTCGTAGTCAAGACTGCTTGTGATCCAGAGTTCTTCACAGACTGCTTGGTGTTACCAAAAAGCGGAACCTTGTCTGCCTGAAAGCTGTCCGCCCCTGTTGGAGTAGGCCCTGAAAGCTTAATAGAGTGTCGGAAAGAAGCGTTGTCGTCGGAAGGAATGTCGTTGAGGTAGCTACTCTCATATTAGTGTCTGTTCATCATGTCTAGCTTAGGAATGACTTGCCTCCACAGAGCATCGGCATATTTGTGAGCTTCAATAGCTGCATCGCCTCTGATCTTGACCATAGAGTCGAAGGTCCCGACCTGGGTATCGCCATAACTGTCCCACAGGTTCGCACCTCCCGTGGTCATCGTGGTACCATTCACCGCCGTGACTTTTGCGTGGTTCCAGCTGAGAGCTGGAAGCCCGTTAGTCTCGGCGACCTTGGCGAGAGGCAACAGGCCATCGCTGACGAGAGTGGTGGCCAGATTGATGACCCATGGATAGCCGGATAAAGCTGACTTGCTCAAGTAATCCTTGAGTTCGACTTGAAGCTTCTTCACCCATGCCTCACTGCCTCCCGGCTGAAACTTGAAGTCGGGGTTGTAAAAGCCAATGTAGAGCTGAGCCCTTGGGTGCGTGATGGATGGCTGATTGTTAGACCAGAAGATCTGCTTGTAGTCATTCCATCCGGATCCGTTACTGGCGTCCTTGAACTGAGCGGCGGTGATGCCGTTGTCGCCGCACAGCAGACGGATGACTGGCGTCACATCACTTGGAAGACCGTTGACGAGCTTATTCAGAGTCGGACTGATGCCCTTGATGAAGAAAGTGGAGTTGAATGGTGCGAGGGTGAGTAAGTCGACGAACATGTACTTGGATCCGTCTTGGCCGATCGATAAGTTCTTTGAGGTTATGCCATTTTCCAAAGCCTCGGAAACAGCAGCTGCAACGACATTGGGGATTGGAGGTGATGTGTTAGACCACTTGCCAAATGGAGTGGCGACGAAGAAGTCGAATGGGTCACCAGGGTTAAAGCCGAGCTCGTTGGCCGTGTCATAGTGGAATGAAACCCCTTCTAACGAGTTCTTCGGGTCCAGACTCGACAGATAGTCCCTGAGCTGTTCAAGTTTAGAAGAAGATGCCATTTTCTCGGAAATAGGTCGTATGATCAATGTTCAAGTCAGTCAGAGCCTGTCTCAAGAGAAGAATGACTCCTCTAGTTGTGCTGAGGGAGAGGGAACATGGGTCAATTTATAGACACTCTCTCAATCGCAAATATACCAGCTTACCTCGTAAAATGAATAAAGGGAGATAGGTGACCCAATGACAGAAGGCCATCACCGAGGTATTGACTATGGACATAAATCCTGGAGCATCATGGCCTTGCATTTGAAGGAAAGTCCGGCTTGGCAGAGAAAAATGCAAGTCCTTCTCAAATATTGTGATCTTTTAAGTTCAGCTTAGCACACCAATCCGACATCCGAAACATCCAAAGTGTGATAGCTGGTTAGCACCGGCATACAATTAGTTGAGCTCGTAAGGTCATTGACGAATGCAATGTCCAAGGCAGCCATCCCGCACACTGGGAGAAGTTGCTAACGTGAAACCAGCCCGCCACAATCACAGTCATTCTTAGCCTCATTTGGTGCGGCTGATTTCAGCTGCGGAAGCCTCAAGATATGTCTCGGAGAGAACTGTACGACAGATAGGATCTGATTGGTCGCTTTGAGTAGAGGAACGCCCTTGGACATCAGCATATTACCCCGTCGTGTCTGTGTTCAGAGGATCCAATGAATCATGATGTCAAGTGACATCGAGACTAGAACTGCTTGTAAGATGCATGAGACACAGCCAACAGACATACGAGTATCAGCGAAGCAAAGAAGTGTTGGGTTACTAAGGCACTCTCTGCTTTAAGAATTGCTGCTTGTGACATATCCAATCTTTTATTAGACTAGAATCAGCTATGATACCCCGTGTCCAGGAGGCCCCGAGTTCATATCAACTGGGAAGAAGTTAAACAGATCCGTCGTGAGTACATCAAAGTTCAAGTCAGGGAATGGATTCCCCACCGAGCCTGACATCGGCATGCTGTAATCCGTGATGGGCTCAGGTTGTGGCCGGTAAGCTCTGTTGCTGAAGAAGATCAGGTCATCCGACGTTGTAGCCCGATTTTCCTCAAGGGACGGAAACTGTATGTTGGTCGGGAGGCGATCGTCGGTCCACGAGGGCGAAGAGTCGGCAGAGGCAACGTCCAAAAACGCGCCCGTGGACTTAGCCGCGTTGATGGACTGTTCCACAGCCCACACGATGCGTTTGATGGAATGTATGGCGTTTGTCACAGGGTCGTCTCCAACTAAAGAGCGCAGGCAAGATATTGCCATCTGAATGAACTCCAAGTTGTGGGGATGCTTTGCCGGATGGCGCAAGCTGTCGTACAACAGAACAGCACATGAGGACTCGATGAAGAATGCGTGGTATCGCCGTGTCTGAGAAAGGACAGGTTAGCTCGTTTTTCGGCGGCAACTACCCGTCCGCGACTTACATTGCATTCCTCGGGACCGCGAAGCATGTTCCAGGTGAAAGCTAGTGCATCCTGTGCAGCATCTGTTGCGTGTCTGCAAGCTTGCCGCAGCCATATATCGCCTATCCCGCCTGACCCTTCACCAGATTGCAGAGCAGCTTCGGCAATGAGAAAAGGGCGGAAGATGAGGAGAACCACATGGAAGTAAACTTGAATCCTTGGAATTAGCAAAAGTTTGAATGTTACACTGGGTCTAAAGTTTGACGTACCATTGTGTAGAAGAAGACTGGTTTCGGGATTCCAAGCGTCTACCCGTTGTACAGAAGCTGCTGTACCCAAACCCCACTTTTCACCGTATTGCCGAACATGACCATAAAGCTTCTCGGCTTTCCCGTACAATTGACGCAGGGAATCGGTACGTTTGTTGTATATCGACTCTATCGCTTCTTCAAGAATGTTGGCGAATTGGCAAAGTGCCATCAAAGTTGGTTGTCCGTCGGGATAGGGGCAGGAATCGAAGTCAGACTTTTGCATCGAACTGCGCCGTCCGACCACCAAGCTGAGCCAACTGTAGGTGATGATATCAGAATGATGCGCATGAAGAAGTTTGGTATACGGCAAATTAAAGAGGTACTCACATTTCCAAGAAATAAAGAGACCATAGCGTTACCAGTCTCCCCTGAACTTCTTCCTTTCTTGAAATTGCACTTGTGGTCCCTGCGTGCAGGCCCATGGACAGGGCTTTCCGCGTTGCGATGCCGCTATGTAAGTAAGCGGAGTTGGGACGACCCATGTTTAGCTGATAATGCGCCATGAGAATCGAGAATTGGATCATGGGCAGCGTTACAGAGTCCTCGTATATCGCCGCTTCCTTTTTGGCGTGAATAAATAACGATTCTGCAGCGTCAGTCTGCGAGGTGCTCAATGCCCCTAACGCGAGAGCCGCAAGAAACACCGTCTTTCTTTGTGGTTGGAAAGTTGTGTCTGGGGTATAGTTGAACAAAGTCGGAACCATATCGTCAAGCTCAGACGGGGTAAAAAAGGGTAAAGATGACAAGTGAGTTGTCTTGAAGTGCAGAACAAACTCTTCTGCCTGTAACAGGGTTACCGGGCAGCTTGCAGGTTGAGCAGGTTCAACGTTGATCTTCAGCGGCATGCCAAAGAAGATGTTTCTCTGCATGAACATGTCCAACCCCGGCCCTCCCTCCTGGACATCTCTAGCATGGCTCTGGCCATACTGACCGGAAAGCAGACCTCGATGAATCTGTTGCAAGAAAGCAGAGTTTGAAGAAGGTCCGTAGAAGAGTTGTGAGCTGTCTGTAGACTTCGGCGCATGGTGAGCTGCGGCGACACTGTGATAGACTTCAGTTTGTGCTACATGTTGCTGGAGTTCTTCTGCTGAACGTTGAGAAGCAGCTTCGTCCCGGCGAACGCGATCAGAGCCCGGGGTGGATACGCCGTGGCCAGTCTCGGCATTCGTTACCGTCACCGCGGCCCGCTTCGACGACAATCTCACGCGCGGTTTGAGACGATACACGCAATCCGATGGCTTGTTCTCACATTGCCGACAGGGTTTGTGTCCGGAACACTTGATCTTGCGCCTGCGGCATGGTTCGCACGCCTTGGGAATCTTCCCTCCGAATTTGCTGTTAGACTGCATCCCGGTAACTCCGAGATATGCGACCCGTGGCCTCCCAATCGGAATAACAGGCTCAATGGAAAAGAGAAGTACGAAGAGTCAGACACGGAAGATATCCTAATTCCCCAAGTCCGAAAACACTCGAATAATTATCTATGTTGCCGTTTTGCGGAAGTTGAATGGGTCAGAGAGGATGAGTTTGGTGAAAGCGGATGAGAAGATGTCCTGACGTAATTCCGTAAATCCGAAACACCGTAAACCCGCCACCGACAACGCTAAAAAGGGGTCCACTGATCTCGACAGAATGGGAGTCAGTGACTACAACATCCGGAACCAATATACTGATGTTTCCTAAGTAAGTGTGGAGGCTGATTAGGAATTGATAATAATGCCGGGAGATTTAAGAGATCAGATTAGACTATAACTCAATTCAAGATGTGGTTTGCAACCTTGTTTAACCATTCAACCGTTTGGGTCGTGTTGCAATTGGAGTTACAACCTGAAGTTTGCTCTAGCAGCGATGACTTCAACAACGATTTATGACAGTGATCAAACTGTTCAGGCGGACGACAGCCTTCGAGACTTTGGTCAGCCTCAGAAAAGGTTGACTGTTACTTTCAAGGATTTGAGCATCGAGGTTCATGGACTTGGAGAAGACTATGGTTCAACATGTCTGTCCGTTCTGGCCGACTTATTTCCATTCGCCAAAAGTCAAACATCTCGAAGGGTAAAAGCTTGGCTTTTGACCTCCGTTGGAAACTTTTGGCTAACATACGCAGCATATACTTCACAATGTGACGGGTCAGGTACAGCCGGGGGAAATGGTAAGCCAAGTAGTGCGACTGCAATGCTGCTTTCCTCTAACATATCACTTAGCTGTTAGTTCTCGGGCGACCGGGATCGGGCTGCACCTCCCTCCTCAAAGTTATATCTAATCAACGAAACGAGTTCCATCACGTCAGCGGCGACGTGAGATACGGCAATCTCGGCCATAGGGAAGCACGGCAGTTTCGTAACCAAGTGGTAATGAACACCGAAGGTATGGGAAACTTATCCGCGGGCTGAGTTATCAAAACCTAACATGAAAACCCACCAGATGACTTACACTTCCCAACTTTGGAGGTGAAAAACACAATTGAATTTGCGACGTCAAACAAGATACCTGGCTCATTGCCAGAGTCATCCGCCAATTCCAAGGATTACCTGTCACAGAAGACCGACGCTATTCTGGAATCCTTGTCAATCAGTCATACCAAGAACACAATGGTCGGGGATGAAGTCATTCGCGGGGTATCCGGCGGAGAAAGAAAGCGAGTGTCAATTGCTGAGGTCATGGCTACTCAGGTATGAATGTATCAACATGGGTATCCCCGATGAATGCTCGTTGACCCCATACACAGGCTCCTGTTCAATGCTGGGACAACTCAACTCGAGGCCTAGACGCCAGCAATGCATTGGACTTTGCACGTGTCTTGCGCAAGATGGCCGACGGGGAGCACAAGTCCATTGTTGCAACTCTCTATCAAGCTGGAAACGGTATCTACGATCTCTTTGACAAAGTACTTGTGCTTGCTGAAGGAAGAGAGATATACTATGGCCCCACAACCGAAGCCAAACAATACTTTGAAGACATGGGCTTTGAGTGCACGCCAGGAGCAAATGTCTCTGATTTCCTCACCTCAGTTTCGGTTCCCACGGAGCGACAGATACGCCCTGGATACGAAGACAAGATCCCGACAAGTCCGGCAGATTTTGAAGACGTGTATAAGACGAGCGCTCTTTTCGAAAGAATGGCACAGCAAATGAACGTGTTGTCAGAAAAGTCTCTGTCGAATGAAGTGGAGAGTCTCCTCAGACTTCGAGATGCAGAGAAGAACCGCTCACTGCCATTTCTATCTCGTCAAGGCAGCCCCTATCAGGTGTCATTCGCGAGCCAGGTTGCAAACTGCATTAGAAGGTATCGTCAGCCTCTATCCACACTTCGATCGCAAGGTCTAACTGAACTTAAAGACAGTTTCAAATCATCTGGGGAGACCGTTGGTCGAACGCATTGCAGATTGCTTCTGCCCTAATCATGGCGTTGGTCACCGGAAGTCTTTTCTACAACCTCCCATCCGACAGCACCTCCATCTTCACCCGGCCGGGTGCTCTCTTCTTCCCAATCCAACTATTCGCCATGAACAAGATGTCTGAGACCACAGCCTCCTTCATGGGACGCCGAATCATCTCAAGACACAAGCGGCTTGCCTTTCATCGGCCCGCAGCGTACGCCCTAGCAAGTGCGGCAACTGATGTGCCGCTTGTCATTCTGGCATACTCTTTGTTTCAGCTGATCTATTACTTCATCGTGGATTTTCAGCGCGAGGCGGGCCACTTCTTCACTAATTGGTTCATGCTCATTCTATGTACACTGTGCTTTTCTTCCCTGTTCCGCATGATCGGAGCTTGGTGCAGGCATTTTGGGCTGGCTTCACAAATTACTGGGTGGATGACAATGGTTTTCATGGTCTACGCAGGTAAGTACGAGCCGTTTCAAACGAAGCGGATAGAGTTCCTCTGACCACTTGCAGGATATCTCATTCCCGTACCGAGCATGCCTGTCTGGTTCCGTTGGATTTCGTGGCTGAACCCTGCAACATACACCTTCGAAGCGATCATGGCCAAGGAGATGGGGGATCTCACTCTGAATTGCATTCAACCTCAGCTTATCCCCTTTGGATCTACCTATGATGGTAGCCAGTATCGCAGCTGCACAGTCAGGGGATCTACGTCGGGGTCGACAATCATCGACGGCGAAACCTACATGAATGCTCAATATTCGGTTTACAAAGCACACATCTGGCGCAACGCAGGCATTCTCATCGGATTCTGGATCTTCCTGGCACTTATGACCGCAGTTGGCTTTGAGATCAATCTGCATTCCGACTCTGGCTCGAAGGTGTTATTCGACCGACGAAGCAAACAGAAGGAGGCAGCTACAAAGGGAGACACGGAGAAGGCGGATGCATCGGCTACCTCTCATGACGTCTCCTATATGTCTCTTAGCAAGACGGTGTTCACTTTCAAAGATATCAGCTATTTTGTTCGTCACGAAGGAAAGGACCTGCAGCTTCTTCGCGGAGTCTCTGGCTACGTCAAGCCCGGACAGCTAGTCGCGCTCATGGGTAGCTCCGGTGCTGGCAAGACGACTTTGATGGACGTTTTGGCACAGAGGAAAGACAGTGGCACGATCGAAGGCAGCATCATGGTCAATGGAAAGCCGCAGGGTATCAGCTTCCAGCGGACAACGGGCTACTGTGAGCAAAACGACGTCCACGAACCCACTGCTACGGTCTGGGAGAGCCTTTTGTTCTCGGCGAGGCTGCGACAGAGCCACAATATTCCAGATGAGGAGAAGCAGGACTACGTTCGAGGCATCATGGAGTTACTCGAGCTGACGCCTCTGCAGCATGCCATTGTTGGAAGTGAGTTGTACTTTACCGGACTTGACTCATTGACACCTCTTTCACGGAACCACACACTAATCATTGTTATTATGCATAGCGCCTGGCGAGGGCCTCTCTATAGAGCAGCGTAAGCGTCTCACTCTCGCGACTGAACTCGTCGCGAAGCCTTCTCTCCTTTTCCTCGACGAACCGACTTCCGGCTTGGATGGCCAGTCTGCCTACGAGATCTGTCGCTTTATGCGCAGGCTTGCAGCATCTGGACAGACCATCATTTGCACCATTCATCAGCCATCTGCAACCCTCTTCGATGCATTTGATGTGCTTCTCCTCTTAGCCCGTGGAGGACGTACGACCTACTTTGGACCGACTGGCAGTAACTCAGCAACAGTGATTGACTACTTTGCCCGAAATGGCGCCCCTTGCCCACCGCACGCGAATCCCGCAGAGCACATAGTTGATGTTGTGCAAGGCCGTTTTGGTACTAAGATCGATTGGCCGCAGACGTGGCTAGACTCTCCGGAGAGAGAAGCGGCCATCAAAGAACTTGATGCCCTCAACTCCAACAGCGACGAGGAGAAGGGTCCCGAGACAACGACTGCGACTGAGGCCGTCGATGAGAACCAACTTGCTGGATTTGCAACCCCAGTCACCTATCAAGTCTACCTTGTCACGAGCCGACAACTGGTCGCTCTATGGCGCAACCCTGATTACGTCTGGAACAAAATTGGATTGCACATCACCAACGGACTCTTTGGAGGTTTCACGTATTGGATGCTGGGTGACGGTACTTTCGACCTGCAACTCAGACTCATGGCTGTGTTCAATTTCGTGTTTGTTGCCCCTGGATGTATCAACCAGCTGCAGCCGCTCTTCATCCGGAACCGCGACGTCTTCGAGACTCGCGAGAAGAAGTCCAAGACGTACCATTGGTTTGCCTTTGTGGCGGCTCAGTTGCTGTCAGAGACACCCGTGCTGATTGTGTGCGGTACGCTTGCGTTTGTCACTTGGTACTTCACAGTTGGCTTCCCCACAGAAGCGAGGATTTCCGGACAGGTTTACCTTCAAATGATCCGTAAGTGTCATTTCATTCCAACAGCTTGTCAGAATATCCTGCTAACTTATCCTCGTTTAGTCTATGAGTTCCTTTACACTTCGCTGGGGCAAGCCATTGCCGCTTACAGCCCCAACGCCTACTTCGCTGCGCTGGCCAATCCTATCATCATCGGCGCTGGTCTCATCAACTTTTGCGGCGTTGTTGTTCCATACTCGCAGATCACAGCCTTTTGGAGATACTGGCTTTACTGGCTCGATCCTTTCACCTACCTCATCCAAGGAATGCTGGAGCCTGTAGTCTGGGATATCGAGGTTCACTGCAAGTCAAACGAGTTGACTCACATTCCACTTCCGGGTAACAGCACCTGTGGGGAGTACCTCGCCGAGTTTCTCACTTCCGAGCCGGGCTACGTTGTCGATCCGGAAAACAGCACCATGTGCGCATATTGCCCCTACAGCACTGGCTCAGACTACATGCGAACCATGAACATCAATAACTCAAGCTATGGGTGGAGAGGAGTAAGTCAACTATTGCATTCAGATATACCGGGGGAACTCCAAATGCTAACTATTGACTGCAATAGGTCGGTATTACAGCGCTCTTCTGCGTTTCGTCTTACGCCCTCGTCTTTCTGATGATGAAACTGCGGACCAAGACCACGAAAACCGCGAGCTAGGATAGAACTGTTCAAAATGCTGCAACGTTGAAAGCCAGGCATACTAAGGGAATGCGACAGCCATGGCACCTATTTTCGCATCCAGCTTCTCCCAGCCGCCTTGCAACTTAGACTCGAAGCCACGTCTGGAAAGCGCCGAGGCGCAACGGAGGGTTTTAGAAATACTAGCGTCATAGCATTGTACATTAAGTTGTCTTTTAAAAACCCTCAACTATTTGTTATCGCTCTAGTTGGTTGCTACGTGATGGTCAATTCCTGGGTTTGCATGGAGCAGGCTTGGGGGCTGGGTTCGATCTCACCGGATACACCGGCGATGCTGAACTTGCGTCTTCGTCGCAATGAGCACCTTCGCCACCGTGCTGGAGCTAGGTTGGTAAGAGTACGTTAAAAATTTCCTTAGCAGGTTGACCTAATTGGTAACTACCTGAAGTTATCCGAAAAGGCGTTGATAACTGGAAGTACTTCAGCATGGTTGGATCTGCAAACAGGGTTGTACCTATTCCTACATAATCATATTTTCACCAGTGGGCCGAATGATTGCTGAATAAAGTTGACAGCTGAAACTGAGTCTCCACGACGACCATACCCTGAGAATCACATGCAGTGGTCAGTGTCAGTGCACCAGCAATGCACGTCTTACGATGAGTTCCATTTCTCTAGCAACAATGTCGATCATTGATACGCATGTTGTTTAGTAGGCTTCGTTCATCTAAATGTTTTCTCCTCACATCCACGGACTCCTGTGAACCATGAGAATTACAAGTTGTCTATTGTTCCACTCTACCTCGATGTTATAAGCTACCTTTTGTACATTGCCTCGTTCCACGCACGTACCCAACTCATACTTGGACCGTAATCGTTAGCTTGAATCTCGTTTGAAATCGGTTGATCGCGCAACAGAAGAAGAAATTATTGACGGAAGCCCGCGGGCATCCGTACCACGTTCATTACCTGGCTGTGAGCTTCTCGAGTGCGAGATTGAGCACCATTATACTCATGACTTGCATATGAAGCATGGGATGATCCTAGACCTCGAGCCCCACGCGGGATTGAGCCGATCGAAACGTCCTGTAGCAGCCGGGATGGCCATGGCTTTGGCTTCAACCACGACTGCCAAGACCTTCACAGGGCACTTTGGCTACGATAATGACTAGTTATATCATTTACTGAAATTAAACCGCTTTCAGTTGATGGCCATGATGGTTTGCCAACCAAGGTTCCGGTCAATTGGAAAGAAAGTTAGGAGCGGAAGGCGACTGCAGTGGCATATGCTAGTGGCAATCGATCTCGGAAATGATTCCCCAGCGTCATACATGTGGTGGAATGATAATAGTCACCCAGTTCGTCTTGACCCAACTGATCTTGTCAGACTTGTGCGGCGAGTACCCTACAACTACCACCCCAAACTCATGATAGAAATCAAGCAAGAGAGCTGCTCACCACCCAGGCCCAGGTTTAGCTCAATTGTGACGAGTCAAGGATATGCTTTTGGGTGTTTGATGAACTGAATCGCAACGTCCGCGTGTGATTCGGTTGCTGCGGAAAGCCCTACTTAGAACTGACAAGGCTACTTTAAACTAAGAGACTACCATTCCATTCATCCGGAGACAATATTCCCTTGTCTGAGGAAGTCTTAACCTGAAGTTGTCGTACATGTAACAATAAAGTCATGTTGTTGCTTCGCTTTGTGATCGTTATGCAGTTGACCGAAATATCATTGGCTCCTGGCAACTCCCAACAGAGCGAAAGTCTAGGCTTTGGTATGTCGCAGATTTCTGAAATAATACTCCATGCTGATATAGAAAAAAGACTGCCATGGGAAGAGGTTTTTCCTGATTTTCCGAGTACCAAATCGGTGGTACTTCAGAAACAGCTCAAGTGTCGCTCGGCGTAAGAGATTCGGAGTACGCGGGGGTGAAGGTATGGAGGCTCTCCAAAAAATTTACATCATAGAAACCTGGTATCCGACAAAGTCTCCCTATTTGTTGGAATGACCCCTCACACAGGCACTGTTCAATTTCCGCGGAGTCGTTTCCGAGAAGCGCCGGAGCAGACGATCCGCAAGCCTTCTAGAACGCTTTCGGATCTGAACTAAGAAAGCTTTGTGCGATTAACGGGCGCTCTCATCGCAGCCTCTTGCGTCGTCGCGGTATCTAATAAGCTTGGCATGTACATAACAAAGGCCAGACTTTGATTTGCCCACTCGAGCCCGTCTGTTCCCTGGATTCAGGTTTTAGAAGAGGCTCGTCGCGATCTATCTAGAAGCAAACCTTGGACTAGGTAGAACGCTCAGACATGCGAGACCCCCTTCGGATTCGGAAAAGGCAGAAGGTCTTGTTCGTATCGCGCTGTGCCCATAGCTCCCAAAACGAGTAGCAAAATGGCCCTTCCCCATTCTCCTTGGAGAGCGAAGCGACGACTTCTCCAGGTCCCTTTATTCTGGTCTCTTACGAATAGAAACAATGTCTCATAACCGGCCACAGGGGACACCGTGCAGCAGAATGATTATTAGAGTTTCGCCCTCTGTTGATCACTCCATGGCGCTAACAATGGTATTGCGCCCCGACCCTGGCAACGTCCGACCACTCAACGAACTCTAAACGGAACTAGAGTGACCGGGCGAGTCAGGGCCGGTGCGGGACGCCCCTTGTCGCAGGTCACCAATTGTCGTTTATGTCGTTTATCAGCAGCTTGGGGCCCTTTCAACTTCAAGGGGCCGATCCAGAGGAAGATTTTCTGCAGCTGCGAACATACGATCGGCCACGGAAAGCTTGCGTTCACATTTGTGAAGCGATGAGCCTCGCCATGTGGTTCACTGCTCACGTTGAGCGATTGAAGATACGATGAGTAACGCAACGGCCCTGGCAGGGGCGTTTCCGCCCCCACCTGGCGTCACACCGAATTTCGAGAACCCCAGGGACGCCGGTTGGATGTGGAATGTCGTGGGAATGAGTGTTCTGGCAGCAATTACGACGCTATTCTTTGGGATCAGGACATATGTGAAGTTCTCAATGGCAACACCGTTTCTTCCAGATGACTGTATGTTGTCCTTCAATCTTGTCCGAATGAGGTGGGAAAAGAAACATTCGACTGACTGCCAACCTAGGGACATGCGCTGTGTCCTATGTGAGAATCAATTGCATGGGAGTGCGAAAAAGCCATACTAATGCCCACAGGCTTTGATCATGATATACGTTTCCACTGTTTTCGTGATGGCGCACTATGGCGAGGGCTATCATGCATGGGAGCTTACGAAAGAATCGTATCAAGAAGTGATGAGAGTAAGTTTGATGAGCCAATTACATCTTGAAGCGGTAAGGATATCTACTAATGGAATGATCTTCAGTGGCTGTACGCCAGCTCCATCATCTACTGTCCGGCAGCATATTTCACGAAGGTCACTTTACTCTTACTCGAATCACGAGTCTTTGCCGTGCACGAGCGAGTTTCACGCGGGATCAAAGTCTTCATCGTCACCTTACTTATCTGCTATATCCCAATTCAAATACTCAAGACTGTCATCTGCCTGCCGGTATCAGCCTTCTGGAACCCCAAGACACCAAATCCGAGATGTTTGAACCAACGCAAAATCTTCATCGCGGATCTGAGCCTGGCCATCATCACAGACTTCTTCATCCTCGTGCTCCCGGTGCCACTACTATGGGGGCTGCGCATGCCTTTGAGGAAGAAGCTGAAAGTCGCTGCGCTACTTGGAGCTGGAGGTATTGCGACAGCTGTGACTGTCTATCGCATGTATCTCGTCGTCCAATTCCTCACTTCAACAGATGTTACCGCGGACTTCGTTGTCTTGGACCTTATCACGTAAGCTATAGCACTTGTCCCTGTCGCGCGCTTGAAAGCTCAGTAGTATGTACTAGGGCACTGGAACTTGTCATCGGCGTCGTTTGCGCTTGTTTACCTTCAACCAACCTACTCTACGAACGAATACGAAGGGGAGAGCAAAACCAGATGGGTAATTTACCGCGGACTGCGGGCGATCTCAAGAAAGGAAGCAGTTCAAGCTCTTCTTACTGGCGCAGTATGTTGCCGAACAAGCAATTGAGGACTACGCGCACAGCCATTCCTGTAGCAGAACGTAATGCGATAAGTCTAACAGGACCCGCCAACTTCGATACCGAACTCGCGGTACTCACTGGCCAGCCGATAGGCATGAGACCATTGACGGAAGAGTCAGCCAGGAAGTCGGAGCAGACTGTCGAAGACTGGGTATACAACCCAAGAGCAAATTCAATGGATGGGAGGAGAGAAGGATGGCTGGCACAGGGTGGCGAGAGCTCAGCACTGGGATGCTCACGGGACAGGGTACCCAACTGGCAAAATCACGAGATGGAGGCCAGAAAGTCTTGGGAGGCTGTGTGGGAGAAGGCAATATCTTCAGAGGGACTAGCCTCGATACCTGAAGATGACGCTCCTCCTCGGCTGCAGCTAGCGACACATCCACCACCGGACCGAGAGCACCTGACAAAGTAGACGGGCAGAAAAGACTTGATAGATTACTGTAAAAGATACCCAGTCATAGCAAAGGAGGCCATGGCGCATCACTGTCGACTCGGTGGGATACACAGGACAGCCACAGGTGTGTGACGAAAATCGGAGGGCGATCGTGTAATAGTAGAGTGTATGAAGCGTCAAGGCAGTGCGCACATCACAAGATGATCACAGAAAGGAGAAAGCATATTTAAACGGATGATACAGACATCCAACGAGTCGAGAATTGAGGCTGTATGTACGCATAGATGGAAATTCCGAGGAACGGCCTAAACCGAATACTCTGTGTTTGCGACGCAGCAGAGAATCGCATTCTCAAGTCACTGATAATGCGACGACATCCGAAATTGCGAGCAATATGAGAGTCCACAATGGAAAGTTCAAGTTTTGGTACTAGTCGTAGACAGAGCTAAGCTCCAGTGTTGAAGCAACATTAACTTCCTTGAACGCTGACGCAGTTTCTCTTCTAATATCTAAAGACGGAAGGCCCT